CTCTCCAGGCTTCAATTTCCTTATCTGTCCAAATAAACTGCATTGCATTAACCTCTGACTTGAGGTGACTGAAATAAACCCCTCTCCTCATTTATAAGGGCCAAACCTGAAGCATAGAGCTCCATCTGTTTCGAAGCTGTGAAAAACAATGCTAAAACAGGCAAAACTTGTACTGAAAGTCAACCCCATATTTTAATTCAGTTCTAATATTGTAATTAGATTATATCTAAAAGATACCTTAATCTTAATTACGTGTGAGTGTACTGTAGTATTGAGGTTTGAACTCAGGGCCTGTGTATAGTCCCTGAGCTTTTTTGCTTAAGGCTAACACTCTACCACTTAAGCCACAGATCCATTCTGGCTTTTTATTGGAGATAAGAGTCTCACAGACTTTCCTGTGTAGGCTGGCTTCAAACCCTTGTCTTCAGATCTCAACTTCCTGAATAGCTAGGATTACTTAATTTTTTTTTTTTTTTTTTGTCCATCCTAGGTGCTGTCCCTCAGCTCTTCAGATCAAGGCTGGCTCTCTACCACTTGAGCCATAGCGCCACTTCCAGCTTTTTCTGTTTATGTGGTGCTGAGGAATTGAACCCAGGGACTCAAACATGCAAAGCAAGAATTCTACCACTGAGCCACCTTCCCAGCCCAGATTACTTAATCTTGTCATGCCAATGATACCAATCAATAGTTTACAAATTACCTACGTGGTGGCACATGCTAGTAAGGAAAAGCTAAGGGACAATACCTAGGCTAACTTCAAGCCCTAGTACTTGCACAAAATAATAAGATTGGTGGTGGGAGCTGGGCCAGGGTGGCTCAAGCCTGTAATCCTACCTACTCAGGAGGCTGAGATTTGAGAATCACAGTTTAATGCCAGCCTGAGCAGGAAAGTCATGAGACTCTTATCTCCAATAAACCACTAGAAAACCGAAGTGGTACTGTGACTCAAGAGGTAGGGCATTAGCCTTGAACTGAAGAGGTGAGGGACGGCGCCCAGGCCCAGAGTTCAAGCCCCATGATCAATCAAAAAAAGGGGGTGGAGGGTAGGAAGGTGGCTCATTGATAGAGTGCTTGCCTCGCATGCATGAGGCCCTAAGGTCGACTCCTCAGCACCACATAAGTAGAAAAAGCTGGAAGTGGTACTGTGACTCAAGCAGTAGAGTGCTAGCCTTGAGCTGAAGAGCTGAGGGGCAGCACCCAGGCCCAGAGTTCAGGCCCCACAACTGACAAAAAAAAAAGATTGGTGGTGGGTGAAGGTGTAGCTAAAACGAACAGGGCCTGCCTAACATGAGCAAGGTCCTGGGTTTGATTTCATCCCAGGGTGGGAATATATATTTAACAAGAAGCCTGGAAAACTTTTCATTTTAGTATATGTGCATTTTAGGTTACTTTGATTATTTTATTATTGATAATGTAAATTCCCTAATAATATTTAGGACTATTCAAACTTTTAAAAAATCACACCTATAAATATATATACATATATATTTTTTAAATCGGTTGTGGGGCTTGACCTCTGGGCCTGGGCTGTTCAGCTCAAGATTAGCACTCTACAACTTGAGCCACAGAGCCACTACCAGTTTTCAGAGTAGTTTATTGAAGATAAGAGTCTCACGGACTTTCCTGCCTGGGCTGGCTTTGAACCACAATCCTCAGATCTCAGCCCCAGTTGTCCAAAGTTGTTTTTTTTTTTTTTTTCTTGTCATGGGGCTTGAACTCTGGGCCTGGGCGCTGTCCCTCA